CCTCTCCTCCTCCTTCATCGCGTCTGCCGGCCAGGCGGGGAAGGGGGCAGAGGAAAGATCTGTTCAGACGCCAGCAGACCGAGCTCCGCGGCCGCCCGGGGCGAGCTCGGCGCTCACCGGCCGCTCCTGCCTTCCCCACGGGCCCCGCCATCGCCGCCGCCATCTTCGTCCCCAAGCTCACACTCGGGAGGGCGAGCGATCCGCACAGCTGCGAGCCTGTCTCGGCAGGTGACCCTCCCTCCACCCCGGCTCGCCCGGGTCTGAGGCTCTGGCCTGAGCCCGACACCCACTCCTCCCGGGACTCAGAGCTTCTGGCACAGCACAGTGGATTCCAAGTTCAAAAGCAGCGGCGGAATGGAGACGACAAGCCGCAGTGGGGAGTATGGTGGCGAGGGATGGCAAGGGTCTATCAACCCAAGTGAGGGGGAACCCAGAGAACACCTGACTCTTTCCTTATCCCCACCCCAAGTGCCTCCCTCTGGCCCCAGCCTGTCCCGCCCAGCCAAGTTCTCCTTCTAGGAGAACAACTCCTGCTGCCCCAGCTTTCTTTATGATCGCCTTCTAAAGTTGAAAGACTATTTCCACATTTCCCGTTAGTAATCACCAATCATATATCTGTATATTTCATATATAAAAGATACACATATCGCACATTGTCACCTGCGATGACATCTATTATCAGGGCAAGTCTGTGGAATTACTGCTGTTTCTTATGACACCTGCTCAATTGTACCCTCAAGTCACACACTTCCTTTATTCCTATATGTAATTTTCCACTCAGGTCCTTTGCCGAGAAGATAGTGTTTTAGCAAAGGCTTGAAAAGGATAAAGTGGTGAGCTGAGTGGGACTGAGGTCAGCAACAGATCCAAAGTACAGCTGAGTGGTGTCCTAAGGGAGAGCGCTTCACAAAGATGGCTAACTAAGAATGGGATGGATGAGGGGGAGATTAGACATGAAATCACAGAGGTGACAGAAGGCCAGACTGAATTCTGAAGGCCATTGTCAGAACGGTGCCCTTTTCTCTGAATGAGACCAGAAGCCACTGGGAAAGTCTCATGGTCTCTGCTATTACTGTTTAGAGAAGCTACAGTGAAGGGTCTGTTTGGATGTCTTTTTCTTTAGAATCTCCTTTACATTGGGTCACCTGGGTCCCTAGACCTGGGTGTCTACCTGAACATTAGTTCTACGTGGGGAACCTTCTAGTGACCTAACTGCTCATTCCCCTTCAAGGCTAAAGGCACAAAGACTAAGTAAGAGAGCCTACCTTTATGTAATATTCTTTACACTGTTCCTCAAAAGGGTAGCCATCACCGGAAGCTTAAAACTAGTCTGCGTCCAGCAATAACTGAACAGTTCCCCTAGGTCAGGGTATTTTTCCCTCACACTGAGGTTATGTCATAAAGGAGGAGATGCATCATTCCTTGGCAACCTGCTACTTCCAAGGGTAACAAGAACTCCTTTAGGTCATGTTGCTAGCCAGCTTGCTCCACAGGTCCTACCCATTGTTGCCTCTTGAGCTTGGGATCCCAGGCATGTTGCTGTGCCAGCTCAATGTTAATATGCCCGGGATGCAAACTCTGATCCTCACCCTTGTGTGGCACTCACTTTCCCCACTGAGCCCCAACAGTGGAGTTTCAAAGGACTAAATTTACATAATGTCTTCAATAAAATGGGGCAGCTTTGTTTAAGTTTCAAAATGAAAATCCTGTAAAAATAGACATAAAACTGACCTATAATCAGTCAAAGTGGCATATAATGTAACTGAAATCAGAGGAATTTAAGGTGGTACTACTATTACAAAGGATGAAATTATAGGCCAATACTTCAAGACAGTGCAGCTAGTTACTGACAAATAGAATATGTGAACACATAATTCAGGTCTCCAAGGATATTTATAGCACTAAGTAGTCACAGCATATAAACTCAGCTCCCAAATAGTTGTGACAAAGGCCCATGTAGGCTTTATAATCAGAATGAAATACATTTATTCTAAATAGAAGTATTTTGTGTTACTCTTGCTGATTCTTCAGCTGACCAGAAACCACAAACTCTTAGTAACTGTCTCATAAGAATGACCCCCAGTCCAGTTTAAATTTAGCATTGCACCTTCTCAAACCTCCTGAGCTAGGCCCCACAGACTGATTTTTCCTCAACATTTAAGCACTGAGCCACCTCTCCAGCCCTTACTTCATTTTCTTTGGAAATAAGGCACAGGTTTTTAACTGGAAGCCATTCAGGGATTACTGTCAAGAAACTTAGTTCCCAGATGAAGCAGAAAGAGGTGGCAAGCTGAGGGAAGCTCAGCCTCTGTCTGCTCCAGCGGCTCTACAGAGGAGCAGTAAGAGTTTATCTTACTGCTGGCTTCTGACCTGCCTGCCTCTTCCAGTACTCACTGTAGGTTTTTGGCTTCTCATTCCCTTCATCAGCTTGTATAGGATAAGCTGGGGGGTAAGCACCATGGAATACATTAATGAAGACAGCACTGCCTAGTGGCCGCTCCCTTTTTTCTGGGTGAGAGTAGAACGCATGGAACTTGTAGACACTACATGGTCTTCTGTGGTGACAGGAGTTAGCCTGTAATGCAGAGAAATGCCAGAAGGCTCCATGAAGGAAGGAAGCTACCGTCAGGCTTTCACCTCCCCACTTTAGGGGTGTGATTTGTGATGGGGTCTCACTAAGTCACTGTAACTCACTCTGTATTCCAGGCTGGCCTCAAAGTCTCAAAGATCCCCTGCCTCTGCCTCCCAAGTGCTGGGATTAAAGGTGTGCGTCACAAAACCTGGCATATCCCTCCCCTTTTGCCCTGCAGTAGGTTTGTTGTCTTTTGCAGAAATTGATAAGCTGACTTTAAATTCTTATAAACATTGAAGGAACTAGGAATATCTATAACATGTAGAGAGAAACCCTGATTAAGAGGTACCGCTGACCACGTCCAATTGGGCCTGGCCAGAGTGACCTGACAAGGGTTTAAGTAGGATGGAGGCACTCAGGTGGCCCCTCTTCTCTTTCTCCTGGCTGAGCTGACTAGGAAGCATCTTGTGGGTCCATCCTGCTCCAGTGCAAACCTGGTCACTGGCTCCCTTGCATGAGTACTATTCCTTAATAAACTACCTGTTATCAATCTATTTCTGATTCCACTTTGTAAACCTCATTAGTAACATTTGGAAAAGATCAGAGTCACACTTGGGAAATTCAAAAGTCACAAAAGTAAACATATAGCTAACACATGAGCTAGACACCAGCTTGATAGAGTGGAATTCAGGGTTCAGAAATAAAGCCTTACATTTTATGGCCAATAGATTTTTGACAACACCATTCATGGCGAAATCAGTGTTTCCAACAAACAGTGCTGAGACAAATGGATTTCTACATACAAAGCAGGTACAGTGGTCTCATCTCTCATTATATTCCAATTGAATTCAAAACAGGTCAAAGACCTGAAAGTAGGAGGAGATGAAGGGTAAAGCAGCAGGGTTAGGAAGTCTTCACCCCTTTTGAAAACACACACATGCTAGGGACAGTGAAAGGCAGCCTATAATATACAGGGGCAGGATCTGAACAGACATCTGATGGGGCAGGTCCTTCTGTGTATATGCTTGTCTTATTGGTTGATAAATAAAGCACTGTTGGCCAATAGGGGAGCAAGTTAGGCAGGGCTAGGAGGCGAAGAGGATTTTGAGAAATGTATAGTAAGAGATGAAGTCTCCATGTGAGCCTGGGAAGACAGGACACACAAGGCCAGTGTCCTCGATAAGCTAAGTCTTTATAAAATATATAGATTAATAGTTATGGCTGATATTTAAGACTGAGAAAGCAGATAAGAAATCCTAGTCATTGCTCAGCAGCACTGTAACTAACATAAGACTCTGAGTGTTTTTTGGGAGCCATAGCATGACAGCGGAAGGAGGCGACTGGCAGAAAGATTTATCGTTACAGACACCTTCTAAGAAAACATTGCAAACTACTCATCTTAGCCATCAGGGAAAAGGCACTCAGCTCAAAAGACCACTTCACATGCATTACAGCCAGGACAGGTAACAAGCAAAAGTGAGCTTCAGAACATGTGTCAATACTGTTGATGAGGTTAAGAGGGGAGCAAATGCTTGGAAAACATTATAGCAGCTCAGTACATCAAACACGTAGTTGCTACGTGACCCAGCAAGCCACTCCTAAGTATGTACCTCACAGACAGGAGGTAACCTAATGTCTAAATAATAGACAAATGACTAAGTAACATGCAGTATGTGCATATTGTAGAATATTATTGGAGACAATGATGCCCCGAACTTGGATGAAGCTTAACCCACTGTTACATTTGGAAGTCGTTAAATATGTTCACCAGCCACTAGCACTCAGGAAGCCAATGCAGGGACCTCTTGAGCTTGAGGACAGCCTGGTCTACATTGCAAGTTCTACGCCAGCCAAGAGCTACACAGTTAAACTCTCTTCCTTCCCCCAAAAAAATAAGAAGTAATGGAGCATTTTTAAAAGCCTAATAATGGGTGGTCATTAAAGATATGACTCTCTGAAGGGATTAAGGTTAATTCGTGAAGGAGGAAGTTAATTCCTAAGAGGGAGTTGGCATATTACCAGTCAAAGATGACACAATAAAACTACAATATATATCCTCTATTATATTATTTAGTATATGTTTATATATGTTTGTATATGATTATTCTTAGCAGACAAAAATTAAGAAGTACACACACACAACACACACAGATGTGGATTTATGCTAAGATATCTGAATGTAACATACCATTTTAATAAAGTGTCAAAACAAAATATAAAAGGAAAATGGTAAGACCAGGGTGAGCTTCAGAAGTAGCTGCCCAGTTACACAGTGAGCTCTCCTCTGCTGTCACGCCCCACGAGCTGGGTGCAGTGCCTCTATCAATTTCTAGCCCCCAATACTGACATTACCATTTGAGGACATTTCTGCCCTAGCACAGCCCATAGAATTCCACGTAATCCAAGTCTCCTGGCCTTCATAAAAACACAGTATTCTGTGATATACTCCATGTTCAGAGGCCAGACATTAAAGCCAAGCACCAAAGAAATGGGCCAAGAGCTCTAAAACCTCGTACAAAACCCACCTGAGAGGCTTAGAGAAGCAATAACTCGGATCTGTCTTTTACCTAAGGTTGGAGAAAGGTTTCTAAAAGCCTACCAGTTGAAGCTCTCTAGTGAACAGAAAGCCTCAAACTGTGCACAAACCTGCTCATAAGTTAAGGGAGGCAGGTCCTCGCCACACACTGCTTTCTGTTCTAAGAAGCACTTTTCTTGAAGTGGTTTATCTCTGGCCAAGAAGCCCATCCAGGCACTGGTGGTGCAGGAGGTGTGCTGCCCTGCGAGTAGCAGGCCGATGAGCATTCCTGCTATTTCGTCATCTATCAGAGGGTTCCCGTCCCTGGGGATGAATCACACACTTAACATTTAGCAGACAGTTAATATTAACAGTTTCCAGACACAATAGACTCTTTTCTTTACTTACTACCAATCAGGGTCCCCGGATCCCCTCCCAGTAGAGACAAACCAGGAGAAAGCATGATGTGGATTGCAAAAGACTTCCTGCCAGTTGATTTGCAGATGTTACCCAGACTAATTACAATTATGATTAAAATATTCTTAATATGTTTCTTACTTATTTAAGGCTATTAACACCCTTGCTGTAAGTGTTGCAAAGTGAGTACTGGATTTACTACAAACTCTCCTAATGTCTTGTAAGCATTAAAAAAACCTGGGCGTCCTGTAGTACATGAATATTTAGTATTATCTGAAAAAGAAAAACAAAGAAATTATTTCATTACATAAAGTTTACAAGTAGGTGTTCTTCATATAGATCATGTGTTCTCAAAATGTGTGAAAAATAACAGAAATTGTTCTGTATTTGAAATTACAATACACAGCAAATAATATCTTAAATTTTATTTAGTGTGTTTGTATGTAGATCAGTAAAGCTGAACAAAATGTGGAGCCAGATCTAGATTGATCACAGGCAGTTTATTAAGAAATAGTACTCATGCAAGTCGGATTAGCCAGGTGGCAGAGAGAGAGAGAGAGAGAAAGGGCCAGCATGCATTCTACTAACTACTTAAACCTTTCCCATGTCACTCTGACCATGCCCAAGTGGAAGTGGTCAGCGACACCTGTGTCCAGCCTCAAACTGGCGTGGTTAGTTACCTGTGTCCAGCCCCAAACCAGCATCACCTCTAAACAGGATTTCCCCTACAGATCAGGGAACGATTTTGGGGAATTGGTTCCTGTCTTCCACCTCGTTGATACAATGTATGACTTGTTTTCTACTGTATGCAGCAGACTCCAGGATGGCGGGCCCATGAGTTTTTGGTTCATTCATTCTACTGCTTCCATTTCCCAAACTCACAATTGGAATGCTGGGATCCCAAAGGCTTTTGGGTGTTTTATGTGGGTTCCAGGGATCAAACTCAGGTAATCAGGATTGCATGGCAAGCACTTTTAATCACTAAGGCAGCTCTCTGGACCCAGAATTTATAATATTTATAATATCTTCCTCAATAATGTTGTAAAATCTATTAAGATTTCTGACATCATTCCTCAGGAAAACAACAATCAGTCTACCACAAGATCCAGCAATTCCACTCTTAGGCATATACCCAAAAGAAGCACATTCATACAACAAGGACATCTGTTCAACTATGTTCATAGCAGCATTATTTGTAATAGCCACAACCTGGAAGCAACCTAGATTCCATATTAACTGAAGAATGGATAGAGAAAATGTGGTACATTTACACAATGGAGTACTACTCAGCAGAAAAAACAAAAACAAAAACAAAACAACAATGGAATCTTGAAATTCGCAGGCAAATGGATGAAACTAGAAGAAAGCATTCTGAGCGAGGTAACCCAGGCACAAAAAGACAAACATGGAATATACGCACTCATATATGGATTTTAAATATAGAGCAAAGGATTCCCAGCCTATAATCCACACCACCAGAGAAGCTAGGCAACAAGGAGGACTCTAAAAGAGACATACATGGTCCCCCGGAGAAGGGGAAAGGGTCAAGATCTCCTGAGCAAATTGGGAGCATGGGGGAAGGGGAGAGGGAGCTAGGAGAATGAGAAGGGGAGAAGAGGAGGGGTGAGGAGGACATGAGGGAGCAGGAAGGTTGAGTTGGGGGAAGAATAGAGGAGAGCAAAATAAGAGATACCATAATAGAGGGAGACATTATAGGTTTAAAGAGAAATCAGGCACTAGGGAAATGTCTGGAGATCTACAAGGATGACACCAACTAACAATCTAAGCAACAGAGGAGAGGCTACTTTAAATGCCTGATGATGAGATTGATGACTAATTTATATGCCATCGTATAGCCTTCATCCAGCAGCTGGTGGAAGTAGAAACAGACACCCACAGCTAAACACTGAACTGAGCTTTCCATCTCTGATTCTTTCCAATTTCCGACATGTTCCTCACTACTAGTTTAAACACAATGACTTTCTAGAGGCTCCCCTTGCTTTTTGGGAAGCATGGGTGACTCACTGTGATTTCCCCCTCCTGCTGCATTGGCTGTGTGTGATGGTGACTTCAGGGCACTGGGTTGGTCAGTGTGCCTTTGGGTCATCCCATCAGTACCACATCTAAGTACCTGTCCCTTAGCATAACAAGGGCCATGTCGTTGCTGAACTGTCCTGTGTCTGCCTGAGAGGCAAGGGGCAGGAGACAAGAGCTGGTGGGAAGAACACTGAGTTTATACAAAGGCCATACCTTTGCATACCAGAGAAGATGGTTGAGGGAGGGTCCCCCAAACATTTTGGGGGCTCAGGCACATGAAAGGGATCCAATAGGAGGGTGAGGGTCAATGGAAGACTTTTCCGGATGGGGTCGAGTCCTGTGTTGTGTCCTTTTCTTCCGCTAGGATGCCACAGTCAGTTTTGACCATCACTTTGTGCATCTTCTTCTTTGGACAAACACTTCTCTTTGCTGTAGTTGAGTTAAGCATTTTCCATGTTCTGATGTCCTCTGAAGGTCACAAGACATACCTGGTTCTGTAAATGCAAAGATGGAATTTTTTTTTTATCGGCTATGCATTTAGGTGCAGTTTCCCCTTATAATTTAGAATTTTGGGCCTGGGGTAGAGGGTGGAGGAACATCTCTGCAAGGGTTGCTCCAGAGGACAGTCAGTGTTATAGTAGCTACTTTGAAAAATTGCTTTATAACCAAAATATCTTTCTTCCTTCCTTCCTTCCTTCCTTCCTTCCTTCCTTCCTTCCTTCCTTCCTTCCTTTCTGTTTTTGAGACAAGGTTTCTCTGTATAGCTCTGGCTGACCAGAAACTCATTTTGTAGACCAGGCTGGCCTTGAATGCACAGAGATCCACCTGCCTCTGCCTCCTGAGATTACAGGAGTGCACCACCACCTCCGGCCAGAATTACTTTTTAAATTTTATGTTATGTGTACGAGTTTTATGTGTAAGAGTTTTATCTGCCTGCCACATGCAAACTTGGTATATTCATAGGTCAGAAGACAGTGATGGATGTAGCACAAATTCTAATTGTTGTTAATAATAAAAATCTGGAGCCTGATTTGGGGGTTAATGCTGAAGATCAGAGAAGCAAAGTGGCCAGCCACTAGGGCGTTCTCACACCAAAGGGGCTCAGACCAAAGGGGCCATCCTGTCCTCAGACTGTATCCTCACACTGCACCATTCCTCAGATGACACCATTCCTCAGACTGCACTGCTCCTCAGACTGCTGTCTCTACGAATCCTCCTGTCTTATAGTCCTCTCTCTGCCCAGTTATATCACTTCTGACACTACATCCCTAGTACTAGGACCAAAGAAAGGTATACGATCCCAAGTGCTGGGGTCACCTTTGTGGGAGCTCTGTTTGTCTATTAGACAGATTCAATCTCATGTAGCCCAGGGTGGCCTTGAACTAACAGAGATCCATCTGCCTCTGCCTCCCAAGTGCTGGGATTAAAGGTGTGCGCCACCACTGCCTGACATTTTCTTAACTAGCTTAGCACTATGATCTTCAGGCAAGCTTTATTTGTTAGATCATAAAGAAAATATCACGTCAGAGGAGTGGGTGGGGGCATAGGGGTCGGATGGGGGTGAGGGGCCGAGGGAGAAGGGGAGGGAGAGCAAACTGGGGCTAGTATGCAAAATGAAAAACAATGTTTTAAAAAGAGTATGTCTTAGTTAGAATTTCTATTGCTGTGATAAATACCATGACCCAAATCACCTTGGGGATGAAATGAAAGGGTTTATTTCACCTATAGATTATTAGCCCACCACTGAGAAAAGCCACAGCAGGAACTAGAACAGAAGCAATGGAGGGGTTTCTTGATCCTCTTCTTCAAGCCATGACTTGTTCCTTATGGCTTGCGGGGCCTGTTTTACAGCAGTCGGGATCACTGACTTAGGGGTAACACAACCCTTGGTGGGCTAGGCCTTCCCACACCAAGCATTAATCAAGAAAACGTCACTCATGCTTGTCTGCAGGGCAGCCTATGGGGGAATTTTCTCCACTGAGGTTCTCTCCTTCCAAATGACCCTCGCTTGTGTAAAGTTGACACAAAACTAGCCAGCACAGAGTGCATGGGAAGATGTCATTCACCATGATCATGCTGTCTTCATTCAGAAATGCAGAAATGGCCTAAATGTAGTACATTCACAAATGAGCAGAATCACATGACCACCTCAGTATTTGGAGAAAAGGCTTTCTGCAGAATCCAACAGCGCTTCAGGAAGGGAATCTCAAAGTGACTATGAAGGGAAGGACTATTTCCTCATAAGGGAGGTGAAGACGGGATGTCAAAGTCCAAGGCCACCCTTCCCAGCATAGTGAGTTCAAGGCCACTGTAGGCTACATCCTCTCAAAAGTAATAAAGTTCTGCCATTCACAGGAAAATGGAAACAAATGGAGATGATTATGTTAATCAAATTAAGTCAGTCTCAGAGAGACAAACACTGCTTGTTTTTCCCACTTGTTGTGTCCAGATTTTTTCACAGATATGTAAAATAACCATAAACTGTCCAGGGGAACAAAGGGACGAATACGATGAGGGATGGGGAAAGTGAAGGCAGGTGATATGAGGAGAGTAGATTCAAAATACATTGTGTGTGTGTGTGTGTGTGTGTGTGTGTGTGTATACATATATGCATGAAAACATCCTGTGTAACCAAGTACCATGCACAGCAAATATACATAGTGCAAAAGCTACACAGTAGAATTGCATGATTCAAAATAGCTATATAATCTCCAGCTACAAAATGCAGTAATTATAACAAACCAATCAATACTAGAAATATCATA